GGGCGCCTCTGGCTCTGGCCTAGCCTTGCGTGCCAGCCTCTCTTCTGAAGTGGCTTTCGTGGGGGGGCGGGGGGGGAAGGATTCGGCACAAAAGCGGGGCGGGCGGAGTTGGGGGGAAGAGAGGTCCCCTTGCTGGTCGTGCGCCCGGAGAAAGGCCGTCGCCCATCGAAACTTAGTTGCTGGTCCGAACGGTTCCCAGCCCGGTATCGCCCCATGTAAGAAAGGGCGGTCCCAGGAAAGCGAATCCCCTTCTCCCGAGAATCTGGCGACTCCCAAACGCAGCCGCTTCCTCCTGAAGCCCCGAGCTTGAACGATTCGTTTTATCCTCAAAAAAGGGAATCTCGTGAAGAGCGTTAAGATTGCCCTGCGGGCCCCGAACCTCCTTTCCCCGCCCAGCGTCCTGTTCGCAGGGAGGCCTCCCCACTCTGCCAGTGAGCTCCATTCATCTGCGGGGTTGAGTAAATAACTGCATTTCTGCCTGTTGGGGGAATTAAAGAGGGTGAGAGGGAAAGCAGAATATTGTCCTGCTTCGAAGACTTAACAGATTTATTTCATTTGTCTTTCCAAATCCACTTCATACACAACTGCGTCTGTGTAAAAAAAAAAAAAGGCAATCTTGATCCACGGAAACTCACTCTCAAATAAATCTTAGACTTTATTAAAGCTTCCCCGTATTACGTGTTTTCCCCCTTTCCTACTTTTCTTTGCTCCATTAATTTTACTTTTGGTTGTTGTGGGTTTTTCTGGCTCTTTGGCCGTGTTCTGGAAGTTGTTCTTCCTAACGTTTTGCCAGCCTCTGTGGCCATGGGCATCTTCAGAGGACAGGAGTCAGAACTCTGTGCTCTGGTTTTTATTTTGCCTGACTTTTCAAGGCATGGCATCCACTTTTTAGTTTTTAAGTTGTTAGAGTGCTCTTGGTTGATTTACCAGCAACATCCTAATAATAATAATAATAATAAGAAGAAAGTAGTTTGGTGAGGAATCTCTCCCGACTTCTTTTACTTTTATTGCCGCGGCTCCATCCCACCGAGTCGCAGGAGATGTAGTTATGATGATAAAAGGCAGGCTCGGCCGGTAGAGCGCGCTAGTTAGTGCTCGTCCTCGAACTACAACAGGGAATTTCCAAACTGCAAATCCCAGGATCCTACAGGATGGAGCCCTGATGGCATCCTTTCCCTTCTCTGTGTCCTGCAGAGATGCCCGACATGCCGAGGATGGCGCAGGGAAGGCGTCCCTTTCTCTCAAGGGTCCACAAAACCCTCCCCGCTGCTTCTCTTCTTCCCCCCCCCCCCCGCCCGGGTATCGCTCCNNGAGCCCAGCTTTCCAAAGAAGAAGAGTCGGCGCCACGCGCCCCTCCCGCAGGCCAGCACGCGCTTCACAAGCCAAACCCTCCCCGTCTCCTAGCAACCACTGAGGCTTCCTTGTTCTCACGTGACAGAGCCAGCGTGGGGAACGCCTAACGGAGGGACGCCGCCTCGTTGCTGCTGCTGTTATTGCCGGAAGTAGCTGGGGACTCTGTTTCCGGTCGGGGTCCGTAACAGCCCCGGGTGGCAGCGGAAGTCCGGTGAAGGGGGTCCGATTATTTGGTTTCTCCTTTTGGGCGACGCGAGAGGGGATGGCGTTGTGGCGGCCGCCGCCGCCGCTGCCCTCCCGTGATCTCTGCCCCGCGCGGGAGGAGGAGATGCCACAGCCAAACGCGCAGGTATACCGTCGATCGCGCCGTTGCTCCCTCACGTACGGCCTGCCGCGGGGAGGGGTGGGGTGGGGTGCGCACAAATGCGGGGAGCCGAACCTCCCGTTCCAGGTGCCAGAGGAGGCGGAGGGAGGGTTCCCCTTCTTTATCCCTCAGTCGGCAGTAGCCAAGCAGAGGGGCGGCCTCGGGACTCGAACACAGCTTCTCGGGCTCGGAAGAGATGGCAGGGCGCTCCCCTTGCCCTTCCCTCGTGTTGTTCTTGAAGATAGGGTTTGGCCTTCTGAACTGGGCGTGGGCGTCATTTGGTGCATCAGAGTTAATGAGAGAACTCCTAAAAATGTCCTCTTTATTTTTTAGTATTGGGTGAGGTTTGAAGTTGCCCAAAAAGGTCTGCCAAGGGACTGTTTTGTGGAAATATGGGATGAAATGTGTTGAAGCCAAGCTGAGGTTTCTGCAGCTGGTTCACCCTCGCCCCTAAATGCGCCAAGAGGGATGAGGGGCCCTGAGGAATGAGATTTGTACAATGAGGTGTGACAGAGATCATCTTCGGTGGACAGCCTTCCCTGTTTCCTATCAGTTCTGTGTTGCTGCAATATGGCATGTGACCGATCACATGTACCAATTTGCCACCTCTGTGGTCCACGTGATGTGGTTCCAGATGTGTTACTGTGAAAATTTATTCTGCCAAACTGTTTCCAGGTCACGTTTGGACATGTTTAAACAAATGTGTTTGATAGGATTGTAGCTTTAGACAACAATCCTGTGCATAGTTAATCCAGGAGAACGTTTTATTGCACTCAAGAGGTTTTTACTTTTTTGTATATGTGTATGGGATCACACTATTGGTAGGACAGGATCACTAAAGGGAACCATAGTTATTGTTAACTTTAATTCCTTTACTTATTTTTTAGCGGTGTTGTATTTATAAGCAGTCTCTGTGTATGGATGATGCTGATATTTTATTATAGAAATCATTGTAATATGAAATTTAGGAGTGCCATATGTTTTAAATTAACATGATTATGAGCCCTTTGTGCTGCAGCATGTTAAGTGTGTTTGCCTATCCAATCACACCCTATCAAAGCACTTTAAAAGGCTCAAATAAATCCCTATTTTCCTCTTTCTTTTACTTTAACTTCAAAAGCTTTAGTGCAGTGACTGGCTAAGAGCACTCTTGAATGACCCCAAATGGTAAGATAGAATATATCATTGTAAAAGCATAAGAACAAAAATGCAACACAAATCTCAGTGCAACCTTAGTTTTATATGAGTGGTAGCCTTAAGTTAAGAGGCGTGGTGACGCTGGGGGCTAAACCGCAGAAGCCTGTGCTGTAGGGTCAGAAGACCAAGCAGTCATAAGATTGAATCCACGTGACAGAGTGAGCCCCCTTCACTTGTCCCAGCTTCCGCCAACCTAGCGGTTCGAAAGCATGCAAATGCGAGTAGATTAATAGGGACCACCTCGGTGGGAAGGTAACAGCGTTCTGTGTCTAAGTTGCACTGGCCATGTGACCACGGAAGATTGTCTTCGGACAAAACGCTGGCTCTATGGCTTGGAAACGGGGATGAGCACCGCCCCCTAGAGTCGAAGACGACTGAACAAAAATTGTCAAGGGGAACCTTTACCTTTGCCTAGCCTTAAGTTATTGAAAATACTTATTACAGTAATTATCATTGTGATGTTCTCTGCAAATATCTAGTTGGATCTGGCCATAGAAATGATACCCTCAGAAGTAGTGTATCCTTCTTCTTTTAATTCTTAGCTTTTTAAGCTGCAAACCCCTCATTTTAGATAATTTTCTGTATAGTCCTTGGGGCATGTCTGTCTCAGAAATGAGCTCATTTGTCTGCAAGTTTTATTGCAAGCCCTGCCTGTCTTACTCTCAAGAAATGTAAAGCTTTCCTCCCTTTAACATGCAGATTTATAATGATGGGATTGAACTGGCATGTCAGCAACAAAAGGAATTTGTAAAGAATTCTGTGGAATGCAAATGGAATTTAGCAGAAGCCCAGCAGAAACTTGGCAGCTTAGCACTACACAATTCTGAATCCCTGGATCAGGAACATGCCAAAGCACAGGCTGAAGTTGCCGAATTGCGGTGGAGGGAGGAAGAGTGGCGCCGCAAAGAAGAGGCATTAAGGCAAAAAGAAAGACAGGATCTGTGGAACACTGATGTTTGCAGCAAGGAGGTATTTAATAAGGTATGGAACAAGCTGGCTTGCATAAAACCAAAACCACCCTTCCATAAGAGGCACTGGTGTCACATAATAAATTTAGAGCATTTATATAGCACCTGTCCAAATTCTGGCTTCTGCCAGTGTTTCTGACAGGATTAATATCTGCCCAAATTTGTCTTTTGCTACTTCATAGGAATAGTGTCCGTGTTCAGATTTCAAAGTGCAGATTTTTTTGGTACACCGGCTTGGCTCGAAAGAGCCTCGTGGCGCAGTGGTTAAACCGCTGTACTGCAGCCAAAACTGTGCTCACGACCTGGGGTTAAATCCCAGGTAGCCGGCTCAAGGTTGACTCAGCCTTCCATCCTTCCGAGGTCAGTAAAATGAATACCCAGCTCGCGGGGGGGGGGCAATATGTAGCCTGCATAATTAACTTGTAAACTGCCCAGAGAGTTCTTGAAGCACTATGGGGCAGTATATAAGCAGCACGCTTTGCAAATTCAGAAACAGGGCTTTGATCTAAAAGCAATTAAGCCAGAGTGCTTTGCTGCTCCCATTTAGTTTAGTAGTCTGACTCTTGGATCAGTACACTAACAATGCCATCCTGCATACAACTATTCAGAAATAAGCTCCATTGGGTTCAAAGATCCTCACTCCAAAGTCGATGGGTATAGGACTGCAACCTAGAATAGTTAAATTTAGGTTTGCTTTCATACTTGGGCACTTTAGTATGCATAGCTTTGACACTGTTGGATAGAAGTGGAACTAAAATATACCACATCTATGGCACTAACATTTTTACAAATTTGGATCTATCCATCCTTTGGGCAAGATTCAATTACATGCGCGCTCAGAATGAAGTGTCATTCAACAGAATTCCTACTCTCATTTAAATTGTCCTAGAATTAATAGCTTCCCTCATGCCCCTTATTAGTTTCATCTGTTCAGTCCTTATGACTTTGGTATTACTGAATTGTCAATATTTAGTCTATTCCTGGTGTGGGTAGTTCTGAACAGCAATGATGGACAACTTAGTTCAGTGAGCAGATTACAATTTCTCATAAAAAGATAAGGGGCAAGCTGCTGATAAGGGAGATTCAGTATCACTTTTTCATTCCACACTGGCCAAGCCAGTGTTCCAAAAAAAATCACCATAATACAGTATTTAAAAAAGATGGAATCTGGTAAAAGGTGGGAAGGACAACCAGAAAAACTGGACTCTAATAAATTAGCCAAGTGATTGTCAGTTCTTTCTAAAATCTCAGGTTCAAAAAATCAAATTTTGAGTTGCTTTGATAAGTTCTTCCATTTTCTCCTTATGTGTATGAAGCAAATTTTACTGATATTGCCCTGGAATCTGAACTTGGAACAATTACCATCTGTTTTCTCCAAACCCATTTCTCTAGCATTGTTTTGTTCTTAGGATGAATTATTTGAAAAATTGCTTGTAAGCTGCTAAAGCATGATTTACTTATTCATTTTGTGTCTGTTCTGCTTTTCCGCTGTGATGTAGAGTCCCAAGACATTTTACAGCATGTTTTAAAAACAGTAAATGCAACTAAAATCAGTAGTAAGTTGTAATTTTAAAATTTATGTAAACACATTTAATTAGCTTAAAGCAATTGAAAACATTTAAAATACATCGGAGAGAGTGAAAGTGTGTTATCACTCTGTAAAAGGTCCTTTTACCACAGTCCATTCAGTTGTCAAAAGGTCTGCCAGAGGAGAAATGTGTTTGTCTGCCACCAGAAGAACAGTGTGAAAGACTTGCACAGATTCAGAACGCCCATCTACAAGTCTCCACATGCTCCCCAAAGATCTTAAAATCAAGAAGCCTCTGATGGGGACATACAAATCCTTTAGATAGCCTAGATCCAAGTAATATAGGTTACTCAATTTATGCTGTGCTACAGAGATTCTTTTTGAGGAAGAATCAAGGCATGAAGGCAAAAAAACCCACCTTTTCACACGCTGCCACCAGTTGATCACTAAATCAACGTACTTAGGAAAGATGAAGGTCAATTCATCACTGTCTTTTGAATAAAACAGGTTTACTGATTATAGATGTTTCTATAATAATTCATAAGTATCTTCTTCAGGTTCATCAAGCATCAATAACAATCTTCTATATTATCTTACAGGTTACTATTCACTCCTCAGACTAATCACTCCTCAGATTCCCAAACTAACTCAGCATAATATTCAGCATAATAAGGGTGAACCTCGTGGCGCAGTGGTTAAACCGCTGTACTGCAGCTAAAACTGCTCATGACCTGGGGTTCAAATCCCAGGTAGCCGACTCAGCCTTCTATCCTTCTGAGGTCGGTAAAATGAGTACCCAGCTCGCTGGGGGGGCAATGTGTAGCCTGCATAATTAAATTGTAAACCGCCCAAAGAGTGCTTGAAGCGCTATGGGGCGGTATATAAGCAGCACGCTTTGCTTTGCTTTTGAACACCACAGTGAGTCTCAAAAAAGGTAGCTGTGCAATAATCATGTCTTCTTACTAAACTATTTATGATTTCCTAAATACTCAGTCAGCAGTGTTATTCTGTTTGCCAGAGTTTCATTAATCAAAAGGAGATGACAGAAACTGAAGATGATGCATCTAAGTCATTCATGCAAAAGCATGAGCAGAAAATTAGGCATTTTGGTAAGTTCACTTTTTTCTCCTGAATCTTTATGTATTATACCATGTAACAGTATCATATCAACTATGTGAAGTCCCATTTTAGAAAGTGTCGCATTTAGCATAAATTCCATATTCATGCTCCCTTCCTAGCATTAACCTTAAGTGATGAGAAATATGGAAAACAATCTCTGTTAAATTCATAGGCTGAAGTCTTGTTGGCAGTTCTAAATATGCAGTGGTGATGACAGCAGTGTATGGGGATTTCATACTGTATACAAGTTTGTTGAATTGTGTACAAGTTGTGTGCGCCTGAAAATCACCTTTAATTAGCAGCAAATCTCCTTGGTCACTTTTCAAGAGGATTTCAGCCAGAGTATACTTCAGGATGATTACAGCAACATACCTTACTTGCATGCTGTGATGATTTCATACAGTAGGACCCCCATAACTGTGGGATTGGTATCTGTTGTTTTACTTATCCATAGTTTGCCACATCCCCATATGCAACATACAAGGGCATCCTCTTACAGCCTTTGTCCTTTTGTATATAGGATTCCCCATATCCATGTTTTCAGCCATCCACAGTAGATCATGGAACCAATTCCCTGCAGATATGGGGGTCTTACTGTATTCATCTTAGGGCCCAAAGTGTTACAGAACATTTCTTTGCAAAAGAACTGTTTTGGTTTAATGTCATTATTTTTCCAGGCATGTTGAATAGATGGTTGGACAGTCAGAGATTCCTCTCTGAACACCCATATCTTGTCTGTGAAGAAACCGCTAAATATCTCCTCTTATGGTGTTTTCATCTAGAAGCTGAGCAGGTATAATTTAGAAGTTATCCTCATTTAAAAGGGAGCAGAAGTTTCTTCTTCTTTACCTCATTTTGTTGCTAGTAGAGATTTCTAGATTTTTCCTACTTTTTTGCTTCATCTGGTTCTAGACGTCTTGACTTCCTAATGGAGCACATAAACACAAAGTTCCCAGTCTATACCAAAACTCAGATGTTCTTCAGTTGTCAGATGGCACTATAGGACACTATAATGATATCATCTTTTCTGCTTGGCTGAACCATCACAGAATCAGCAGAGGGCAACAAGAAGATCTGATTTTGAAGAACCTGAAGTAACAAATTTCTGTCTGTAGCATAAGCCTACTTATACTGATTTCAGATTTAGGCTTATAAATTAAATTTAAAAGCCTAAATCCCAAATCTGTGTGTTATATATCATACAGTAGTGCCCCGCATAGCGACGATAATCCGTTCCGGAAAAATCATCGCTATACGGATTCGTCGCTATGCGGAACAAAAAGGCCCATAGGAATGCATTAAAACGCGTTTAATGCGTTCCTATGGGCAAAAAACTCAGTTATGCAAAAATCCTCCATGCGGCCGCCATATTCGCTGCCCAGTAAGCGAGGAAAGGGTGCGAAAACACTGCGGGCGGCCATTTTTTTTACCCGGTGGCCATTTTGGAACCGCCGATCAGCTGTTAGAAAAAACATCACTATGCAAAAATCGGTAAGCGAAACAGCTTACCGATCGTCACAAAGCGATGTTTTACCATTTAAAACATTGCAATGCGATCACTTTTGCGATCGCAAAAAAAGCCATCGCTATGCGGATTTGTCGTTAAACGGGGCACCCATTATGCGGGGCACCACTGTATTTGCAATTTGATATTTAACAAGACTTAGATACCTTTTAAAAGGTAATGACCAGAATTCTTTGGGTGTTTGTATAAAGTTTGCCCAACCTGCTGTGGCTAACTGCATCTAATTGATGAGGTGCTGGAGTACAGTTAGGCACATGGCCAAGTACTGGCACCTTGGTAATTAATTAGTCACAGCTAGCCATGGCAAGTTACGCATGACTTATTAAGAATTAGCAGGATTCTGGTCAATGTTTTGTTCTGAATTGACAGCTAGTCTTCATATCCTCTTGCTAGCTGTGAATTGGCCTCTTTAAAAAGCATCAGCATAGAAAGTTTTCACACTGATGCTACACCATGGTGGCTGCAGTTTGCCCACACTTTGTCCTCTTTTGAGCACACTTTACTATGGTTTTCTTTTCCAGTTCTATTAATTATTTTCAAATTTAGATGTTTTTGAATTTATTTCATTACTTGTAGGGATTTTCAGAAGAGGAGTATCCGAGTAGCTTATACATCTTTCTCAGATCTATGTACTCATCATTTGAAGCGATTAGTATAGCTAATTGTTTTAGACAATGAGCTAAGATGTTCACATGTGAGAACTCATCTGTCCCAGCAGATTAAGTGACAGCTGTCTAGATAATTAAGAGGCTAAAGGGGAAAATCATTTCACATTAACCCCCACTGAAAATAGCTTTGTCTCTGGTAGCTGCTGAGAGCTAACAACTGTGGAAAAGACTTATGTGTGGCATGGGTAAGATCCAGTTTTGCTACAGTGTAACATAGGTTAATGGCACGTTATTTGATGCTAATCTGTTGTGGTGAGAAAGAAAAAATGTGTTGCATGTTAACTTGTTATAACTGCCTTCTTTTCAGAAAGGAGCTCTGATGGAACAAGTAGCTCATCAAGCAGTGGTGATGCAGTTTATTATAGAAATGGCCAAGAGCTGCAATGTGGATCCACGGGGATGTTTTCGTCTTTTTTTCCAAAAAGCTAAAGTGAGTTATGGAGAGTGAGGATAGAGGGCTGCCTTGCATTGGTTGCCTGTTCACTTCCACATCGATTTTAAAGTCCTAATGATTACATACAAAGCCCTAAACGGTTTAGAACCTCGATACTTGGTGGAGCGCCTCCTCTCCCCAGATCTACCAGCACCACTCAAACTAGTCAGGAGGGGCAATTGAGGGGGCCTAATGGCAAGGGAGGTCCAGAAAGAAAAGGCAAGACACCGGGCCTTCTCGGCAATGGCCCCTTCTCTTTGGAACAAACTCCCCTCCGAGATCCATTTGGCTCCCTCGCTGGGCATCTTTAAAAACCAGCTTAAGACCTGGTTATTAAGACAGGCCTTCCCTCCAGGCACTACATAATTTATTCTTTCATCCCATCTTGAGTTATTGTTATTGTATATTGTTGATAAATTGTTATTATATATTAATTGTTTTTATTTTCTCTGTTGTGAGCTGCCCAGAGTAGACAATGTCTAGATGGGCGGCATATAAGTGCAATCAATCAATCAATATTGTTTGAGGAATCCATTTTAAAGCTTAGGAGGAAAAAAATAATCTTTGGTAGCTGGATGTGAAAATACGTAAGAAGTACTCCAGACTATGTGGGTGATGAGGGTCTATCATTGTCCATCTGTTTCCTCCCACTAAAGAACTTTGTATCTAGAGAGAGAGAGAGAGCACTGTCTAGTGGACTTCTTCCAAACTGCTCAGTCTCTTTTAAAGTGATGAAATTCATTACAGCAAATAGCTACTGAATGTTCCCCTCTTTAAAGAGTGCCTCTATACAAATGAACAACTAAGAATATTGGTATTTATCAAGCAGGTTTATTATAAAACTTCACATTCTGCTATAATAGCAAGTTTCAATGCTTGACTTAATTCTGAAAAACTTAATTCATTGAAAGCTATTACCGTAATCCTTTACTTGAATCCTTAATTCTATAATGATACCATAGCCGTAAACATATCTACTTTGAAGAGATTTCCATTTGTTTGGGATCCAGTTTTTTTAAAAGTACCTATTTTTTACTTGCTTTGTAGCAAAATGTCTTGGGTGGGGTGCAATAAATGAAAGCAGACTAAAATAAGGTAATGTAAAACAAGTTAATAAACTAAAACCCACAATCTAGTAGATCCAAGAAGACCACATTCTTACTAAGTTAATAAATGCCAGGCCTTAATTTGACATCAAAATGGGGACAATGTATTACCTCAAAGAGGAAGGTATTTCACATCCAGAATGCTACAGCTGAGACGGCCCTTTCCCACATCCGCATTAAGTGTACCATGTCCAGTGATAAGGCACGGCGGAGGGCCCTTTGTAATATAAATTGTACCAACACTGTTTAAATTGCTTTATGAAAATGAAATATAATGTTGACATTTGGGTTCAGAAACAAGGAAGGAAAGGTAAAAAGTTGGTTTTTTAAAAATTGGATACATAGTTGTACAAGTTGCCAGTCTGGTGTAGTGAACAGAATGATGGATTGGGACTTGGAAGACCTCGGTTTGTGTTTCCACTCAGTCATGGAAACTCATCTTACATGTCTTTTACACTTTGTTAGGATAACAATATCATAGTCAATATCACACCGAGGGTGACAAAGTGGATCTATCTCATGGTTGCATGGGACCCTTGTTTTGAGACGTTTAATGTAAGAGATTTATACTGTACTCAAATTGCCATCCTAATGATGTGTCTTAAGAAAGAAAAACTTTTGTACTTTATGGTAGCAGCCCAAGTGGATTTAATTTAAATCAGTTTTTTTGTGTTGGCTGAGAGTTTAGAGTTCATCTTTTGGGCTTCAGTTTGTCAAAGGCAGTTTTAGCTCTTGATGACTGATCATTGCCATCATAAACTTCAAAAACATCAGGGAAGACTAAATAAAAATTTTATAGGCTGAAGTTGAAGTGTCATTATTCTGCAGTGCTGCTTTTCCCCATCATTACTTGGGAAATTATTAAAAAAAACTTGTGCTAATCCATAAAATAAAAATGAAGGATCTATGCACAGTATGAGAAACTATGAATATCTCATAAAATGTATGTATTTATGAAAATCACATAATTAAACTTCCTTTAAAGCAGAATTTGGCTTACCTATCTGTAGAATCTTACCTTGTAGATTTTTCCCCAGAAGATATACAGTGGCCAGAATCCAACAAAAAAGAAAGCATAAAAGAAAAAAAGCTTCATAACCAATGAACAGGTGCCCATTTAAATCCATGAAATACAGTATATTAAAGTATTTGTCAGAATTAATATTTTTTGGTTTGGCACATAAACAGTAGCGTTGGTGCTAAGTGAGGAACATAGGCAGAGATTTGTCATCAAATGCTATGTAGTGCCATTTGTTTATAATTCTTTTTTTGTGGCTTTCTATGTAAAGGGTTTGATTGACATAAAAAGGTGGGCCTCTCGCTCTTCTTGTTCTTCAGTCAGTTGTGCATTTTGCTACTTTCCAAATAAACCATTAAAAACATTTGATCCACCACCACCCCTGCAAAGGTTTTGACTGATTCTTCCTCTCCTTGCTAAAGCATAAAGCCATCTAGCAACCAAGTAGAACAACAGTATTTGTTGTGATTGCATGTTGCAATTGCATGAGTTCCTTCCAGTGGCCGAAATCCCATTGGTGTTAATTTACCTGAAAGGGGAATGGGGCTTTTAAAATTAAATTAAAGATATCTTCAGATGATGACATCATCTAGCTTTCCCAGTATAAATTTGTGCCGACTGGGTTTCAGCTAATATCTTTATTTTACTTAATAAATTCAAAAATTACCAGGAGTTTATTCTGAAGTTATTTGATTGTACAATATATGTACATTTTCTTTGCTTCCTTAGCTACGTGCACAAATTCATTGCTACTCAAAATCAGTACAGTGGAACCTTGCAAATGATAGAAATATTTAAAAACTCTGACTTAAAAAAAAACTAGTCGTTCAACATGCTCAAATCATTTCCTTTTACTAGAGTATCTATTTTAATTGTATTTTAATTGTTTTATCTTTTTATTGTATTTTAATTGTTGTAAGCCGCCCAGAGACCTTTGGGTAGAGTGGGCGGCATACAAGTTAAACAAACAAACAACAGGTGATTTAGATTTATGCAATTTGGGTAGTTTAAATCATGGTAACAAATTGCTTCTCATTCATGAATTGCTGGATCCATGCCTGGGAGCCTGTTTCAGTGCAGTTCCAGAAAACAACAAGCCTCTTGTTAGTTAGTAGCAATCTCCTGTTACAGCATGTGCCATTTCTTACAGTTGATGTAAAGCTGCAGTTGGCTTCTGGCCAGTGAAACAAGTGCGCTGTGTACAGTAATTGCTTTTTGGTCTGTTTCTCAGACAGGGGAAGAAGGCTATTTGGACGCATTTAAAAACGAACTGGAAGCATTCAAAACAAGAGTGAGGATTTGTTCCCAATCACAGAAATTTCAAGCAATGCCTGTTCAGAAGCCCTTGTTTCACACTGATAATTCTATAGGAGGACTTGCATCTTTTCCACAGGTAAGACCTGCTTAACTGTATTTCTAGTGAATTTATACCTAGTTTAAGGTAGTTTCTGCCATCTTTACACTTAAATGTCTTTCTAGGAAAAGTGGTGTGTTTGTTGTTTTTTGTTTTTGTAACTTTTTTGTAACATGATTCATCTTACGAGTAATTTGTTTCTCACCACTAAATGCAGTAAAAGCCTGGAAAAGCACCATGCACACACAGAGTTTGGGGCCTCCCTGGCTAAGGGAAAACCCATCTTGTTTTGAGTTTTGCTGCTGTGAAGAAAGTGGTTGGGCTAGCACAGTCTTGTCTTGAATGAGTAGATGACTTGAAATTCCATCAGGCCAGCAAGCAGAGAGATGGAGTCCTCTGTTTCTTCTCTCCCTAGCACAGAGACTGAATTAGTCACTGGAAGAAGAAATCCTCCATACCCAGCATCAAAACACAGTTCACCATCCCACCTGAACTAATTTCTGTCAGACTAGCACAAAGATAAAATAGTGCCACTGGTTGGGTGGGTGATTACAGAACCAGGTCACAGATATGGTGGTAGGTCTTGAAGGATTTTAGAAGCTGGCTTGTTCAAAACGATCTTCTTTCATAGCTCATGAGCACAGTTAATCTATATAAGAAATGTTGCTTCTGGTCAGCCTGATATGAGCTGTAAGTAAGAAATACCATCCCAAGGATAGGACAAGGAAGTCTTTAATTACCAAAAATTACCACTACTGGAAGCAGTGATTTTTGGTAATTAAAGACTTCCTCTTTCCATCCCATTTTCCCTATGGCTTCTCAACAATGGAAGGATTTACTGAGAACCTGTAGGCCCTTGGATAGAAGGGGAAATGTTTAATCTTCAAAAAAATTGCTGTGGCTGATGACAACATCAGTCTTTTGCCACAGAACATTCATGAACAGGCAGGCTGTCAGCCAGTGCTTTGAAATTATCTGTTTTGGGATATGAAGTGGAAGACACACTGTTGAAAATACATGGAACATCAGTGAGTTTTATAAGACTTGCCTACTCAGATATCTCACCTCCAGTTCTGTTTGTGCCTTGGGACCTTTCCTAACATAGGTCAGCTTTCATTTCCATGTAATGGATCCCAGCAGATAGTGTGCATGCCATTATTTCTGGCTCCGGATAGCATGTATGATCTCTCTCTCTCATCCTGATAAGAACTCTGGAAGTTATTTTAAGTGAGATAGTGTGACTTTCTCAAAGTCATCTAGTTAGCTTTGTGGCTAAGCAGGTAGTTGAACTTAAGCCAGCTTGCTCTAAGTCCAGCAGTCCAAACTAGATGTTGTGAAGTGGCAACTTCCATCAGCTCTAGCCAGCATAGCCAGTGGGATGGGATCATGGGAGCTGAACCAGCAACATCTACAAGGCCACACATTCCCCTCCCTTGCTCTAACCGCTACATTGCTGTGGCTGCTACTCCCCATGTTCTAGGCTGTGGAGTGACTCCGTGAAACTGTAAATTTGCAGTCACCCTTTGGACTCAGTCATTGTTGAAACATATACACTTACAGTGGATAGAAGGGAGCATTCCAGCCTCATTCTCTATGATTCCCGTTTCAGAGTCCTCCTACATGTGGAGGGCGATGAGACTGAAGAGGAGAGACTGCACTGTTTGTGGGTGTTCTTTGTGTGAATCAGGCCCTGGAAAGTCAGTGCCCCGACTCACTTGAAGAGCTCTCCTTTCTCTGCAGTTCATATGTCGGGGAATAGTGAATCCAGAAAAGGTGGTGGGATAGTGTGCTCTCCTCTACCCATTATAAGTGTATCTTCTTTAATAATGACGAATAGAACTGATTTCTTCTCCTAACCAGCTTCATTGGTATCAAGATCTCAAGTAGCTGGCATAGCTGATCAAAATATTGCTGTTACTACCAAGTTAAACTGTTGAGGAATTCTTCAGGCTCTGGAACATACCAGTGTGTTGTATCCTATGATGCCCTGCCTTTCCTGGAATCAGTTTCTTGGGTTCATTTTCATTACTTAAAATGATGGAGACGATGATCTGACTTCTGCACTAAATGGTTTGATTGACATGAAACAAGCTGCTGGTGCTAGTAACAGTTGCATAGAGGAAAACTCGATGGAATATGTGAGATGCCAACTCATATATGAGGATTGGTAGTAAGTAGTATAGGGTGAATGGTGCAAGTTGCAGTGTCCACAGGCCTGTGGGTGGTTAAGAGAGTGGAAGCCTGTTGCATCTTGGAGCAGAACAGCTGTTTTCCTGTGATGGAAATTGACTTTTGTGCTTATTGTGCTGTTCTTTGTTGCAGAATGCAGATTTACTTCAGGGTTGCAGCTTAAACTCAGTGGTACACAGAGAAGAGGAAGAACCTAAAATGATGGATACAGTATAGTGCTTCTGAGACTGAATCAATCACTCATATTACAAAGAGAAGAACACAACAGCTTTCTTCAGACTTATTTTTATGGGTGCTGCACTTTATTTTGAAGTTTTTTGTTTGTTTGTTTGAGCGGATAATCCAGAAACATTCTTGTCTTTTGTTTAGAAAATATGCTGCTAAGTTTTTTCATTTTTTAGAACAGGAGAATTCTTGTGTGTTGCTGAATGTGAAACTGGATGTTTTCTGCTACTACTAAACTTTGCCTTTTTAATTTTAGGATTGTAGTATGAAAAAAGGATCTGCACAATTGCAATGTTTACAGTTGATTGATTCTTGGAGGAATCTGCTTTAATCTTGTTAGAGATGCCCATGTCTCACTCTAAATGCTGGTGATCATTCTAATGCGTTCTATTGTTTGCATAATAGGCGCTTAAATCTGATTTTATCATGAATAGCAATAAATCACTGGTTGCTATTAGCATTGCATATTTGGGTGGCTCCTCAGATAAAATCATGTCCTTTTAACTCTTCTGCAGGGGTGAAATTGTTGTTTCCTGCTTTAAGATAAAGGCCTTTTACTATTTATTTCAACACTTCCATCTTGATGTGTTAGTGACCACAGTTAACTAATAACAGAATTAGAAGCAGCATTTATATTTAGGAGCCATGCCCCCTGAGAAGTTGGATGCCTTTGAAAGAGAAAACTGAGAATTCTCAGTCACTGATGCGTGCCTGAGATGAAGAGAAATCAGTACTCCTTGGTTACCTCTATACTTTAGAATTTTTTCATAGTGTCTTCAAATGGCAGGCATAGGCAAGATATCACCTGTCAAGTGCTGTTGGACCACAGCTACCATCAGGCCTAGTCAGTGCAGCTGGTAGCTTGGGAGGCTGGGAGTTTCCGCACAGCAAGATCTGAAGGGCTGTGCTTTGCCTCTCGCTGACTTAAGGAAATTCTGGGTGCCAAATTAACTTAAAACTGTTTTAAATTGCATCTTGTGAGTATGAGCTGTGAAGTATTCTATTTTTGGTAGGTTGTTGGATGTTTCAGAACCAATAATCAGTTGACCATCTTCAAACCAAGACATGTTCAGTAGCCAAAAATGATTTTGACCTGGTCTTGGTTCCAGTATGAGGTCAATATAAACTGAACTCATTCAGTTTTCCCTGTGTATTAGCTGTGCAGTACCAAAAGTACAGTATGGAAAATTACCATCCCCAGTGCGTTGCTGTATCACAGTTCTCAGTGCTTCCATATAAGTATACTTTGGTGTGGGGATGTGTTGTAAAGATGAATGTGGTATTATCATTTCCTGCCAATGCACAGCCAGATCCACTGAGTGCATCTTAACCATGAAGCATCTTGAGTTGAGTATGTCCCTGAACCAGAAAGGTATTGTTGATTTGAAGGATTCTGCTGTTCATTTGGTCATGTTCCTTTGTTGCTATTTCAACTGGTAAGTAGGACTACGCATATAACCCTTTCACTGAGTTTGGCAATGGGAACTATGGAGAAAGCTACTGAAACTCAAGCCATGTGCAAGTTCTCCCAGACTTCTGGGATTTTGGCCTATATCTGCAATATAATGTAAGCATTGGCTAAAAATAAACCATAAGTGTTGGGGAGTGAGTCCACATACCGTTGTGGCCTAGTACCTACAGTTAAAAGGGAAAGGCTGTGTTCTCTTTCTTCCGAGTGATAGTCTTTATTGCTGGAAGACTGAGAGGAGTAGTGTTGATTGTGAGATGTGAGGAATCATGACTATTTTATATTTTGTATAGAAGCAATGCCTAAGCTATGAGGATAAAATTGTCAGAAAGGTTAAATTGAATCTGTAGAGATTATGTATCAATAACATTGAGTGCTTGCGCGCAGAAACTTCTTCCATGTAAAGAATCATATTTTGAACAGCAGCTTCTTTGAATAATATTGTGTACATGTGTGTATTAAATAAAGCTTCTTGAACTTTATATTGAAAATTTTAACCCCAGACTCCACAGTGTGTTTGGAGTAGGAGCAGAAACCTGCAGCAAGGGGTCAACCACACTAGAATTGGTTAATCAGCTGCTAGTGGAACAGAAGATTGGAGCCTGTTGTTTTCATTAGAACTATTGAAAGTGTGACCCAGCCCGATAATCAGCCCATTGTCAGTATAAAGGACAGTATCAGAGCGTTTATTGAGTTATATAAGCATAAATAATGATATTGGCAAGATGCCTCCATTCCTTCAAAATCCTATATGAAAAACTAATACCTTGAGTACCTTGTAGGCCTATTAGTCCCTCCACCAGTATAGCTTAATAACAAAAAAATGAAAGATGATTTAAATAAATTTGTGCAACTCATTCTTATATTTGAATCTGTAATATATAGTTCTAATATTTGTCATTGGTGAGAACAGAACTCACATAATAAGGAAGGCATGTCATGTTTAAAAGACAGCATGGTGTGGATCAGAGAACTGAGCTGAAATATCACGTAGAAGAGGATACATGTTTTGGATATCAGGGAGCTACATATTGAGGCATTCCTGCTCCCCTGCCAGAGTAGCTAATGTGTCTTTACGCCTGCAGTCCCCCAATTTATACTAAAAACCTGCATCAAGCTAGAAGCAAGAGAAGCAGGACGGTTGGAAAGTCCTTACTCCCCTGGCACTAGATACAGAAGCCAAGCACTGGATTTTTACCAGTATCTGTACCTGATATCTAGAAACATTAGAACCTGCCTCCTTGAATTCCAGCTTAATATGTTAAATGCTATTGACCTGAAACACTAACTGCTAGTATTAATATAAGAACTGCAGTTTGTTTGTCCCTATGATGATACTTTGCTGAAGAACATATCTGGCCAAGAAAACAAAACCTTTTTTTTAAACTATTTTGTAAGGGGGAGAGGACAATGGGAGAGCCATAAGAAGTAAATAAACAAGTAACAAGATTCAAATACTGTATTGCTAATGTTACCTTGGCCATTTAATGCTATCCTGCTTCCATGGGACCTCCCATGTCCTTTGCACGTTTCATTGGTGAATGGCATTGTCTTTACTACTCAGATATTTGCAACACAAACCATACATTCATGGAAGCAACTCCCAATGAGTGTCATTTCTAGTTAGACTTGGGTGGATTATATACCTCTTAAGATTTCTCAAGGAAATTTCCTTGAAAGAAGGTAAGCATAATGAGGGAATACAAATTCAAGACATTTGCAGAAATCCTCAGCAAGAAGATTAAATCAAAGGAATGGTTTTTGCTTAAATGCACAGTGAATTGGCAAATTTGGAGAAAATCGTTGTGGAAGTGTCAGAGAGAAAAAATAATAGAGTTCCTTCCAGTCTTGAAGTGTTTAGCTGTTAAAAAGTGAGGAGATAATGTGCATAGCAGTGAGCCTTCACTACACCATAGTCTTAGATGCTTTTATCTGAGCTTGGAAGTCTTAGTGGTGTTGTCTATACTGTATCATGTTACTCTTGGGGATACTAAGAGCAGAAGAATGGTTTATTTGCAAAACTCTTAATAACCTCATATAATGCAAAATGTTTACTTATTGTTTGAAGGGAGCATTTTAGGCATTTTCTTACAAAAGTTACCACGTTTAAGTAATATTTTGTTGATGTCACTGATAGTGGGTTACTTTTAGGGTTTCATAAAATGAATTACTTTTAAAAGTTACTTTCAAAGTTCTGACTTTGATGCTCCTACCACACCATTCTTGGACAGGACACATCATTTTATATGATTCCTTGGACTCTATTGGTGAATATCACCTGGGTTTCAATACAATTTGTTAATTTAAAATGTACCCTCACCATCTTTTGCATCAAGTATAACCAGTTCCTGGCAAAGAAAAAATAACTGCCAGTTATTCATACAAATAGACAACACAAAGCCACCCTGTTTCATTTTACAAAGGCTCCCAACTAGTCTGATATTTGGGTCATGTGCAGCTGTCAGCAGAATCTACAAACTTCAGTTTCCTGCAATTTCTGCTAGAATTGCAGTTCCAAGTGTCAAAGGGGTTAGGATGTTTGATGGGGAGATTTAAAGTATTAATTTTGTACCTGTTCTAAACCTGGATGTCAATTGAAATTAATGCATTTTCCAGATATGTTTAAGGTGGTTGTCTTAAGCATCATACATCATGCAGAGGCATATTTGCATTTACTGTTCAGTTAATCCAAAGAACCAAAGCCATTCCCTAACAGTTTTAACTATAAATACAAAGGCCTACAAATACTTTTTGCGTGCATGTCTATTTGGACCTGCAATTGATTCATCTGTTGCTTTTTTCCTAAAGATGGAGATTGTGACTGTTCTCACCACAAAAGAGGGTTTTCATTACTAACCATGATCAGCTCCCAGTACAGAAGCAGGATGAACTAGACCTGGGACTAAAGCTGGTGAATATTACACCCTGCTTCACAGAACTCTGCTTTTAAAAACAAGCATATCTGCCATTTCACAAAGCCAAACTACAGTTGTTAAAATATGAGCTACAGGTATGCTTTGATTTGTTTGTTGGACCAAAACAAGGACAATCAGTCCATCAAGATACTCAGGAGTCTTACAGTGATCTCAATAGGCGCTCTAGCCTGTGGAGTTCTTAGCAGGACATGCTGCTTTGTAATGTCATTAAAGGAAGATAATTTTAGAAACCTTAAGAGTGTGACAAGTTTGCTCCGCAGTATAACATAACTTGTAAGGCTGCCCCAGGTGAGTTTTGAAAATGAAAAAATAACTAGCTGTTAATAAAATGTATTGTAATGTGTGTTCTAGTTAATGACATTTGGGATACAGCAGGAAATATGTTTTAAAATCACAGGATGGCACAGTGCTGCTTAGTTGCATCAGTTGGTACATAGCTTTGAGCAAGGTGGGCATTCTCCAGAGATGTGGGCCTCCACTCACCCCTCCATGGCTCTCTGAGGGCACTCTTGTGCAAACAAAAGTATGGGAGAGGGTACTGAAAAAGCTACTTCTCAAAACAAATTGTGCCCTCATGCCCCCCCAAAAGGCACAAACTTCCTAAGCCCTAAAAATTTGAGGGAGAAAAGATGCCACTGACAACACACAAGAATACTGGGCACATTTTGCCTGTTGCCTTCAAGTTGGAACCAACTTAGAGCAACTCTAATAGGGCTCTCAAATGCAATATTTAAGGAGTGGCTTTACCAGTTCTCAAGGTAAATGCCTGGGTGGACATTCAAACCCTTCTAAGTCCTAGTCCATCTTCTGAGTCCTAGTCCATCTTCTGAGTCTTAGTCCACTCTATCCACTATACCACACTGGGTATCATGCCTGGGTGGGCATTCAAACCCTTCTAAGTCCTAGTCCACCTTCTGAGTCCTAGTCCATCTTCTGAGTCCTAGTCCACTCTATCCACTATACCACACTGGGTATCCCACATATTGCCCATCCCTGACTAATCTCATTGAACAGACAAGTTACTGTGGAAGGTCTTGCGTTAGCATTGACATTCAGCTGAATTAGCAAGCCTGAGCTCTGGGAACCTAAATGGACATCCATAAACAAAAAAACCCTTTGACCCTTTGCAACTGCTAAAAGGGCATGTTCCAGTCCTGCCCCTTTCTTGAAGGTACTGAAGCTCCTTTAGGTTCTGTCTTACTAGAAGGAAATAGGAGTCCTGTAGTTCTCCAGATGTTGATTACTAACATCATCCCTCACCATAGGCCAAGCTAGGAAGTCCTGGAGTCCAACTACATCAGTTCATCTATGGAGTCCAACAGGGCAACACCTAGAGTAGCTCCCTCTCAGTTATGGAAATCATTGCCCTGAAAACTGATGGGAGCCGTAAGAGTTTTCAGTGCAAAGTTTGGTAAGTTGCTGTAAAGATCTTCAGTACTGCATCGGCCTTTCAAACTAATGTCTTTTAACAAAATGCATAGATCTGTGTTATACTTTATTGAAAATCAGCTTAATATTAAATTAATTTTACAAAATCCAGTACATCTAATATAAAAATAGCACTTCACCATTAAACTACAAGAGGACAGGAAAACTAGGTGATGGCACAGAATTGAAATGTGATCATTGCAGAGGTTTCTCTTGGCTATTCATCAGTATGGCACATTATTTTCTAATTCCCCATTCCCAGATCACCATTATTCTAGTACAGACAAGAACATCTATTTCTGGAAGCTTGGCTATATGCCATTAGCTTTTACTTCTCAGGAGAGTAACGGCTCTTGCTTCAGTTGTGCGTAGTGGCTCCATTCTGACTGATTTCAGGCAGCTTGGTTTGAAGGAAATTATGAACGTGTGGCCAGATTTTGTTGGTCTCTGTTCCAGAGAAAGTATGAAGCACCGCTTTATGGCTATAGAAGAGAGAAGAAATACATTAGTCTCACCTGCTCTTTCAAGTTCCTTACCTCTTGGTAGAACTGCAGCAGAGGTAGGAACTGTGCAGCCCATAGCCTCATTGTGGCTGGAAAGAAGCTTTTGTGTGAAGGAGAATTCTCCCATCACCAGAAATATAAATGGTGTTCGTTCAGAATAGAGAATTCTGCCCCCTCAGAAGCGTTCTCCATTTGATTATCCCACACACAGCCCCTGCAACTGATACCAATTCCACAATAAGGATTTGTAGAAATCGAAAGTGACCAGAGCATCACTTCTGATTTCAGAAAAATGAACCGCTGTAGCCTGCCATAGAAACTCAATGGCAGGGGAAAAAATTTTAAGGGGGGCTTTTTAAGGAGAAAGGCAGGGTAAAAACAACCTGCCATAGAAACCCAATGGCAGGGGGGGGAATTTTAAGGGGGGCTTGTAATTATGCTTGTTTTACAAAGGACAGGGATTCAGCCAGCCTTATGAAGAGCTCTGAAAGAGGAACAAGTCCTGTAAATGTAGCTTCTTTGCCCATAGTTTTGCAAGAACAGAAATAAAGCCATCATCCCTCATATTTTGTTGTGTTTCTTGATCTGTGGAGAGAAGCAGATTGTGCCTCTTACCTTTGAAGCAGGAAATTGCCATTTTAAAAAGGGGGTGGCATGGCTGAATTTAGTCTTTGGCCAAAATTCTGTCACCAGACATAATGCCATAGACCTGATGATATCATCTGCCCTGGTGATTTTTCAGAAATTAAAAATGATTCCCTCATTTTGTCTTCCAATGATGCATGCCACTTTGGATTCTTTTTAAGGAGAAAGGCAGGGTAAAAACAATTTAAATAAATAAATAAATGAGGGAGCCTTGGAACTTCTGTGAGGGAAACCTGGAAATTTTTAATTTCCTATATATATCACAGTTGCTAATGACATCATGAGGTTTACACAGCATAAGTTGTGAAACATGATTTCAAGCCATTGTTTATTAAAAGTGCTTATACATTGCTTTCCTGCTCACCAGGAAAGCAAGGTGTAATAAAATCACAATCCTACATAGGACCACTGCATGACTCGCTATAGGGAAAAGGAATGCAGTGTGTACTGTAAATAAATAAATCTAAATAAATAGTCTGTTTAGTAATGTAATTATAACAAATGGTTTACTTTTGGTAACTAGGGTGCATTGAAATTACATTTTGAAATAATGTAACAAATAGGAATAAAGCTCCCTTGTTGGTGCATTTTAAAAGACATACTGTACTTGGATGCATTTTGACAGGAATTCTTCAAGATTTATGCCACTCTCCCTAAGAGACCTTTTTCCATTAAAAAGCAACAAGTAGGACAACAATTTAACACAACGACTCTACTTTGAAGGATGACGGCCATTTGGAAAGCAAGGAGGTCATGAACGAGATTAGCACACAAGAACTTGCAAGTTGTCAGCAAGAGTCTGAGTGGAGCTCAGCACCTCATCTCATTACAGAGCTCTTAGCTCACCAATGTGAGTGGTCAGGGTTTAAAATAAATGCTCAGACATGAAACATGCCCATGTGACCTCAAACAAATCATTCTCAGCTTCACCTATATTACTAATGGCATAAATCAGAAGAGCTGTAGTGATGAACAAAACAAAGTTCTATATAGTACAACATTCTCCATCCACATCAGCCAACCAGATAAGGAGACGCCAGAAGGAGCACATGAGAGCAGTAACACCTGTCCACTCACATTCCCCAGCAACTGATAATGAGAACAGTAATACATAGCCACCCAAGTTTAGTAGCTTGTACAAAAATTCTCCCACTGCAACAAGAGCTTCCTCCTCACTCTTTTGAACTTCATTCAGGGGCAGAGTCTACATGCCCCCCTTTGCACAAACCACATAAACAGTGGGGTGGAAGTAAAATCACTCCTGTTTCTACATCACTGCTTCTGTACAATACATAAAGCAGTTCTAAGTTTGTCTGAGGACTTCAAAGAGAAAAGGGTTAGAGATCATGCTGCATTCTGAAATGTGTCCAACACAAAATAATATTGATTGATTGATTGATTGATTGATTGATTGATTTGATTTGATTTGATTTGATTTGATTTGATTTATACATAAAGCTAAGTTTGTCTGAGGACTTCAAAGAGAAAAGGGTTAGAGATCATGCTGCATTCTGAAATTTGTCCAACACAAAATAAGGCACTTACCGGTAATATTCAAGGACAGGTTTGGTTTCCGCTTCATACGATTTCAGCCTCTTCATAACAGTTTCAGGCTTGTCATCATCACGTTGAACCAGAGGCTCTCCTGTGTCATCATCAAGGCCCTGAGTATGGAAGGCACAAGCATCCTGTAATTCATTCATCCATTCAATTTTTTCCCACTCCTATTAGTGTCACAGCACTACTCTGGGTGGGTTGTAACTCATAAAATAGAAAATAAAAATAGTGAGATCAAAACAATTGGCAATAACCCTTAAAAAAGATGTTACCGAGTAATCCCAGAGCAGATGGAGGAAAAGAGGGGAGGGAAGAAGAGGAAGGGAAATAATGAAGGGAGGGGAGAAGGTAGTCAGCTGGGGGAGAGATCAAAACAAATGGCAATAACCCTTAAAAAAAAAAGATGGTACCGATTAATCCCAGAGCAGATGGAAGAAAAGAGAGGAGGGAAAAAGAGGAAGGGAAAGAAAGAAGGGAGGGGAGAAGGTAGTCAGCTGGGGTCAGTGTGGAAAGCCTCCCTGAAAAGCAATGACTTCAATTGCTTCCTAAAAGTTCACAGGGAGGGGACTAGGCAGAACTCCTCTGGAAGCTGGTTCCATAAAGCTGGAGCCACTGCAAAGAAGGCTGTACCTAGACCCGCTGAAGTCTCCAGATCAGGTTCAAGGGGAGACCCATGTAGAGGTCATTGCAGTAGTCAATCTGGGAAATGACCAGGACTTGCACCTAAGTCCTGAGGGAGTTCTCATCTAGGTAGGGGCAATGCTGGGTGATTAGCCTAAGCTGGTTAAAGACTGATCTGGACAAGGTTGCAATCTGGGACTCCCAAGAAAAAGCTGGGTCCAGAAGAACGCCCACTTGGTCCCTAAACTGGAGGGGAGGACCATCCCTCATAAACTATCAGAGGTCTGCCCCAGAAGCAGAATCTCTGTTTTGTCCAGGTTCAGTTTGAGCGCCCCAGAAGCAAAATCTCTGTTTTGTCTGGGTTCCATTTGAGCCTGTTAGCCCTGGTCTATTCCAGTACTGCAACCAGGCAACACTCCAGTGTCTGGACGGCACCCACTGCAGAGGTGGTAATGGAGAGATAGGGTTGCATGTCATTAGAACACTGATGGCACCTTACTCCAAAATTCCTGGTGACCTCCCCCAATGGCTTAACAAAGATATTAAACAGCATTGGGAATAGTGCTGACCCCTGAGGAACCCCACACCAAAGGGTCCAAGGTGACAACACCACCTCCCCTAGCTGAACTCTCCGGACACAGTCCTTGAGGAAGGATTGTAGCCAGCTCAATACACACTAAGCCCTTAATCCCAACCTCAGAGAGCCTATCTAGGAGTACCAACAGGGTGCATCTGCCTCCCTTAAAAGGTCATCCCGCAGCGCGACCAATGTCATCTCAGTACCGTCGCAGCCTGAATCCAGACTGGAATGGGTCAAGGCAATCCTGCTCCTCCAGGTATGACTACAGTTGATTGGCCACCACCTTCTTGATCACCTTGGCTAGGAATAGTATGTTAGCGATTGGACAGAAATTGTTAAGGTTGTCCAACGCTAACTGGGGGCGCTTGATGATGGTTCTGGCGATGATTTATCAATTATCAATTGATAATGTTCACAACGCAATCCATCATAGCCCCCTTCATGGCTCTGATCAGCCACTCTGGGCAAAGATCCAGCAAGGAGGTGGTGGGTCTACAGCTAGCCATCACCCTGGAGGCTTCTTCCTTTACTACTATTTCATTGTCCATTGCTTCTATGAAAGGCACTGTTGACTCATTTGTCTTCCAAACTGAGCTGTAAATTACGCAATCTGGACATCCTGTTTTAAAGTCCTCCTTTCTCCATTTCATCCATTTGTATTTCTAAACCAGAAGTCAATACATCATAAAGTAGGGAATATCTTCATATTTAATAGCCAGTTTTCTTACAGTTAGCCACAATCTATTCTAATATCTAATAATGGAAGGACACGGAATGCATAACAATAAAATTGTAGCCCAAGGAATCATCTGAACAATTAAGAGCCAGCTAATTCATCCTGGGCCCTCCATTTCGGGCTGCCTATAACTGCCAACAGTTGGCACTTTTGTAGCGCTATCCGCAGAGTAACATGAATTTTACATTCTCCTGGAATATCCATTGTACAGAAGGCTAACAAGGAAATTATTTTTAATTTTTATTTGCATGAAAAACATCAAAATCTAAAGCAAAATGAACGGGCAGCAATAGATTTCAGTGTCACTTCACATTCCTGGCTATTACTGGCAGAGCTCAAAATGTTACTTTTCAAAAGAAATTTGTGCTTGTTACTCACTAGTTTGAGTAAACAGCAGATAGTTATCGTTCCTGTTATTCCATCAGCAAACATACCTTACTCTGCTGCTCATTAATAACATGATACCATTCCACTCATTTCTGCCATTTTTTTATTTAAAGATATTGAAAAGCATTCCCGAACAAGAGCCCTCACCTCTAGGACACAGAAGGTCCTTCAGCCACCCCCCTGCTGAGAAATGACCTGCATTTCCCTCCTTTTTAAATTGTTCTTGAGATGCAAACATTTTCCCCTTTGTTTTAAACTCCAGCCCAAGCTGCACAGTTCTCCCAACAAAATAGAAGCATTTCACGGGGCTTTGTGATGCTCCTAGGAGGAGTCTACATCTATACCATCTTGAGAGGTATGCATCTTACAGATATCATGTGCACTGCTCTAGCACAGAATGCCTTCTTCTGCACACTATATAGAGCCAGACGTGGTGGCGCTGTAGGCTAAACCGCAGAAGCCTGTGCTGCAGGGTCAGAAGACCAGCAGTCGTAAGTTCGAATCCACGTGACGGAGTGAGCGCCCATCGCTTGTCCCTGCTCCCGCCAACCTAGCAGTTCGAAAGCATGCAAATGCGAGTAGATAAACAGGTACCACCTCGGTGGGAAGGTAAACAGCGTCCGTGTCTAAGTCGCACTGGCCACGTGACCACGGAAGGATTGTCTTCGGACAAACACTGGCTCTATGGCTTGAAGAGCGGGATGAGTGCCGCCCCCTAGAGTCGGACACGACTGGACAAAAATTGTCAAGGGGAACCTTTACCTTTACCTAGATCTTAAGGTCTCTTGGGTCTGCTGTCATTCGTGTCTTCAGGAAGCTTTCCCAATAGCTTTTACCTTAGTGTAGGAACTGCGTGGCTTGGGTTTCAATTTAAAGAAAAAAGGGGGCAGCAAGAAGGAAAGAAGTAGGAAAACACGGATCTGTTCTCAGTGGAGGAGGCAGAGACCTTCAATGAGTGATATGGAAATCTCCTGCAAGAAAAAGGGTTTTTTGGATATCACATTTCTTCTCTGAAAAACAGAACATCATTTATGGCTGCTATTGCAAAAAGTTACTAATTACAGTAGGGCCCCCATATCCATATGATCAGCAGCTGCGTTTTCACTTATCCACCATCTAAAAATATTAAAATAAAAAAATCAGAATATTTTCACATGTAATACCAGAGATGGGCACTAGAGGGAGCTAAAGAACATGCTATGGATACTTGATGGATATCCAACAAACTGCGCTAGAGCACAGACAGAGTTCTGACTCCTGTCCTCTGAAGATGCCGGCCACAGAGACTGGCAAAACGTTACAAATTAAAACCTTAAAAATATTGCCAAACAGCCCGGAAAACCCACAACAACCATGTGAAAATATTTTCTGCCCCCCCTTACCAAGGGGTGTGTGTGTATGTCTGTATGTCTCTGTGTGTGTGGTGTTCACTATTATCCATGGTTTTCGGTATCCGCTGAGGGCTTGGAACCAATCCTCAGCAGATTGTGGGGGGGATTTAGTGTAATTAGTTACTTTCTGCAATAGCAGCCATAATGTTCTGTTTTTCAGAGGAGAAATGATGTCTCCAGAAAACTTTAAGAACATGGCCAAACAGCCGGCAAAACCCACAAGAACCATCTCCAGAAAATTCTTTTTCTTGTCTCAGTATTTGGAAGTAACTCAGATATTTAGTACATGAACTAAGGAATAAACGGGAGAAAGAAGTAAGGATAATTGTTTCCACATGACTACCCCAGAGATGGGCATTGCTTACAGGGACTTTGGGGGGATTGAACTCAAGGTTGTAGACCCTGCCACTGGCAGGATGGATCCAGCGTGCAGTTAGCCGTTGTCTGATAGTTTCAAAAGGCACATCTAAGTCAATCACAGTGTCTATTGGGCACACTTTATCCAGAGCCTCTGCCTGTGGAACAGTTCTGGGAAAGCCTGTGGGGAAAAAAGTAAAAGTCAGTCGAGAGAGGATATGGAACCCTGTCCCAATGCTGCTACAGGATACAGACCAGCCTGCTTATCTGAGCCATCTGAGGACCTCTGCTCCACCAGAACAGGTCAGCAGTGTGCCTCTTTTCCAGACGTGCAGTGAGTGTATGTACGGTCAGATCAGATACCTTCACTTAAGGGGAGCTGATGGGGAGGGTTGCGTTGCTTTGTACCATGGCATTGGACTGTGCAGCGCTGTGGCAGTGTCCAATTCTGTACTTTTGTGTTCCCAAGGCAAAGTAGCAGGCTACTCTCCAAACACAATGAAGCGCTGCTTTAGGTCAGATAGACATCAACCAGCCCAGGCTTCAAAAAGAAGCTGATCAGAACATCCGTCCAAACATGCACATGTTCATCTTGTTCTTACGTAGTTACTAGGTCACTATTTGATACCAGGTTCAGATCAAACTAGCAAACTTGGCTATTAATGCTCTTACATAGTCCAAAACACCAGTACCTTAAAGTGCCCTTCTCTGACCCGGCTGTCTCCAGAAGTACCAGACTAAAATACACATTGTCCCCAGCCACCACCAGTGCACTGACTGGTGGCTATGTGATATGTTGTTCTCCATGCCTAGAGGCTGGCAGGTTGGCAAAGTCTTCCTCAAGAGTCATCAAGCCCCCTAGAAACCCATTAGCAAATACAATCTATCAAACTGAAAGCAAGCAACCTATCACCATCACCTTGGCCTTCCCAACCTCACAATACTACCCAGTACACCTCACAATCGCCTTGGGTGTATAGCTGTTGTATAAAGTCCATCACATCTCAGTCTCCTTTCAAGAGAGGAGAGCTCTCAAGAGATCACATATATTGTCCACTCTCTGTTGATCACTGCTAACCTTTTCTAAGTCTTTTCCCTATCTGTATCCTTCCTTCCCCCCCCCCCACACACAAACACTTTTGCTGAACAAGATGAGGAACCTACTGGGTGAGTAACTTTCATTCTTGACAAGCAAAGTTGAACAGCTTCTGGGAGCTGGTGGCCTCTGTTGCCATACACGCCCCAATCTATGGAAGTCTGCACCCCATCACCATCATGGCCTTGGTGCCACTGGGGAAGAGATACTTTTAAAGCAGGAACATCTTCTGTAAAACTAAGCACAAGGGGAGTGTAACTTTGTCTTGAAGCTGAAACTTTCCCCAGACCAGTAACTGGCTTCAAAACAAGATGCAAGGCTCGCCATGGAATTCCATGGTTCAAAAGGGGGGGGGGGGTGTTGGATCCCATTTGCTGCTATAGAAGGCAAAATAATACAGAAAGCCATACTTTAATTCCCCCCCCCCGCCCCCGGACTCGGGGATGGTGGTGGTGGGAACCAGCAGAGGGGATACATGCATACAGTATCTTGTCTACCCTCCCATAAAGAAGCAGCTGCATTTTTGCTACAAACATACTGATACTGATGGAATGCTATAGCCATCCGTCCTTTCATGAGAATTTATTTGTTTTACTTTCCTTTTTTTTCAGATCTCTATTGCAGACAATGAAATGAGAATGGCTTTTGAGAATTATTTTAAATTTGAAAATAAATTTTATTGGCAAGTAAAATAGAAATCCAGAAATAGCCAATCTTTACATGGAATCATTTGAAAAAAATGTTACCTAAAATGATTCAGGTATATTGATGATATTTTTATAATTTGGATGGGACAAGAGAATTTGATATTACAATTTCTTATATGGGTGAATTCTTTGAACAACAACATCCAGTTTGACCTGGAATATCATGAGACAGAAATTCATTTTCTGGACCTGATAATAAAAAAGAGGCAGGCAAATTATACACCACCCTTTTAAAAAAAAAAACCGCAGATTGCAATTTTTATTTAAGATTTGACAGTTCTCATCCTAGACCTTTAAGATACAACCTTCCACATGGGGAATTCCTTAGAATCAAAAGGAATTGTACCAAGAGAGAAGATTTCATACAAAAATCTCATCAATTAAAAAAAAAACATTGTCAGCAAAAGGCTACCTAGAACATGTTATTAACAAATACTTTACTAAAGCTATCCAGACCAGAAGGAATGATCTTCATAAACAAAATAGAAATTGAGGGAATCGTATTAATTGCGTCCTCACATACAACCATGCCACTGATAAAATACAAAACTGTATCAAAACCCATTGGCATATCTTGAACAATATACAAAGTTGTTTAGAGAAACCACAAACCTCTTTCAAAAGATCTTGCTGACATTTTGGTTAGCAGTGAATTTAAAGAGAAACAACAAAAAAAGAGAGGTTACTTACCTGTAACTCTGGTTCTTCAAGTGATCATCTGTGAATTCACACTAATGGGTTAAGTCTGCACCTGCACAGAGGTCTCGGAATAGTCTAGACCTAAAAAGTTCACTAGGATCGCCCCCCCACAGCCCACATGGTCCGCCCGTCCTAGCAATTACCTCAGTTCCCCAATGCCTCTGTTGCTCCAAGAGAAAGACAGACATGACGCAGGTCAGACTTAACCCATTAGTGTGCATTCACAGAGACCATGAAGAAAAACCAGGTTATATCTGGAAAGTCACCTCTACCAACAGGACACCATCCATGTGGGCATTGTTTCTACTGTAAAAACACCAGTAGGATGACAGAGTTTACAGATATTCAGTAGGGCAAAAGATATACCTTAACCAAATTCATGAACTGCAATACTAAAGGGGTAATTTATGCTATCAGGTGTATTTACAACAAACTGTATGTGGGAAAAACATCTAGACCCCTTAAAATCTGTATAGGGGAACACCTAAGCAATATCAGAAACAAAAAAAAAATGGGAACTCCCCTTGTGAGTCATTTTATTCAGCATAACCATTCAGAAAGAGATCTAAAATTCTGGATCCTAGAAGTTGTCCCCACACATCATGAAAAGGCTCTTCTTAAAAAAGAAATAGACTGGATTTTAAGGTGAAATTCTTTATCTCCTTCTAGTCTCAATGAAGAGATAGACTACATTCCCTTGTTGTAGTTTCATATTATTTCCCTCAGATACTTTTTCGAAGGGTAATTAGCCGAGGAAGGCTAACATGCTAGTTTGACCTTGTACACAGCTGTGTAGTCTTTTGTTTATAAACTGTTCTTTTTCTGCCCCCAAGGCACCACTGATCCAAAAAGGAGTGAGAGATTGTCCACAAAAATATCCTCAGAGACAGATTCTACATAAGCTTAATATAAGCGGTATGTAAGCTGATTTCTTATGTTTCCTTATAAATAATAGTTATTCTTCCTGTAAATCACTTTTAATACTTAAAGTAAACTATGACAATTATATTAATGTATTAATGCTAGCACAAAAAGTTTTTTAAAATATCTTATATGTTGTCCCAGTCAAATGAGTAGCTCATATATGTGCTCTTTCTGTTTTATTTATTATAGCTCCTGAAGAAGGCTAAAGGTGCAATAGCCAAATCGCCTTGGGCTTATCTTTGAATAAAGTATTGATACCCATTTTACTTCCTGGGACTACCGTCTCTCCTTGCTTGACAGCTTCAGTGGATGTACTAGTTCTTTTTGTTCTTCTTTTGAGAATCTTTGACTAATCTATTGTATGCTAATCAGAGGTAAACCTGTCATTCCCTCTTTTGTTGATTTTTTTTCTAATTCTGTTCCCTGTGCTCATCCCTTTTAACTCTCACTTAAATTCTTCCTTCCATTCAGGTGCACTTTCAAAGCACTGATATGAGACAGCAGCATTTTTACAACAGTTATTGCCCTCTATCAACATGGAAAGCAATGCCTATCACGGTTCAGCTATGAGAGTCTCTGCAAGTAGCTCTCAGCTGAAGTGTCACTGAAGTCATAGATCTGACTGCTGCTTCCAGTTGCAGATGTGGCCTCATACATTTCAGTACAATGTTCATGACAAGGAAATGACTCAATAGCAGGCCCATTAGACAGAGTGCTCAATTCAGAGTGCAGATGAGGGAAGCTGGAGTGGTCTGGTTCATGCTTAAAAGGTTCTTATCTTTAAAACAATCTATTTTATCTCGCACATGATCCATCTTTCCATTTACACTGATCAATGTTTCTTCTCCTGTGAGAAAGGTCCGGATAGCTCTTTGGATTGCTTCCATTTGTCCTCCTTCTAGTTAATGACACTCCCCTTCCTGCCTCCTGTCCCACCTTTTCCCATGGCCATTATTCAGCAGGCTGTGGAGACTATTCCTTTTTTGTTGTTAAATGAAGTGATATAATGAAACAGCTATGTATTTATGTAGCATCGTACAGGTAACACTGCCAATGTGTCTTGTTTATCTAGAATAGCGCTGCATCAATAGGAAAATATAAAATAAACTTTAAAGTGATTGAGTGGATGAAAATAGAAGAGGGAGGGTTCTCCATCACCTTTCAGTGCCACAACCCACCAAATTCATCACAAGATTGTCATCTCAGATAATACAGCCCACAGCTCTATTGGGGTGCGAATTAACCATCCACATGGACTACAAAATGAGCTAAGTAGGAGCACTCCATATTGTGCCAAAAATCCCTGTAGCCCTACCATTCTGCAAAAAAAGGAGTGAGACAACTCGAAAAACGGATCTCTCTTAAGTAAAAACACACGTAGGTGCTGCAATTAGATTTGGACCAACAGCACCAAAAGCAGTCCAATTAGCAAGCTATATACTCATCTGAATCTGCCGTCAGTTTGTGTTTGGGCTGCATCACATTAGACTTCAGATGGGAGCTTCACTGGGTTGAATGTTTCTTCCTACAAAAATAATTCCCTATCTCCATTTAATCTGACAGTGAAAATTCATCCTGTTGCCTCCAAAGAGCCAAGAAGGGATTGTACACATAGAGCCCACACTGGCCCAGTTGGGGGAGGGGGAGTTTTCTGCCTTCTCTGTACTATTTGACTGTCTCATCTCCACTTGTGACTCAGGAACAGCTATATTTGTATATACTTTAGGATATATGTTTGTACAACCTAGTCATACTTCTTGTGCAATTTTCAGTTTATGATGCACAACTCCAACAGGATTCTAATCAAAATGTCTGGTTTGTTGTTAGGCCTTTGTCCTCTAGATAGGAGGCAAAATTCATTTATAACCTATACTTATGATTCCAGAATCAGCTGGAAATGTTGAGGAGAATGGTCTGTTGCTTCCCTACAGATTCCACCTTTCCCATGTATTCAAGGCAATGATGGGGAACATGCCAGAATGTAGGAGAATGGTAACCACCACCATGCACTGAATAACTGGCCCACAAATGAGATATTCCATTCACCCTGTGTTTGGCCTATACTGTACTACTTCCCAGCTGAAATGAAATTATGACTCATAATTGTTTAACTATAGCAGTCTACAGCTATACTTAGTTTTAAATTAAGTAATAGCAGATAATAACCCTAGCAATGATTTAAGATGACAGTAATTTTATTTATTATTTGATTACAATGTCAGTGACAATGATCACTAACACTATTCCTTTAAATAATTGTCACTGTGGCAAGGAAGGAAGGAAAGCAAGAAAACAGGAGACTTTTGAATAGCAGCAAAGAGCATGCAGGGAGCTTCACTGCAGCAGTTTTCCTGTTCCCAGGCTTTTCCATAATCTTCACACTAAACAAAAGTGAATATTGCACTCTAGGGAATGACAAGACCGAAGGGCTAGCACAAAGGTTTCTCATGCAGACACTCAAGGTTCAGATTTAATCTCCATTCTGATGTTTGTAACAGGCCTCCCTGTCTCACATCACGTCCAGCAAATGTTGCCAGTTCCTGGAAGCTGTTTAACCTACAACCTCTTTGCTTATACAGTGGTGCCTCGCTTAACGAGCACCTCGCTGAGCGATGAAATCGCTTAATGAGGCGCTCATAGGCCCCTATGGCGATTTTTCGCTTTGCGATATTCGCTAAGCGATTCGCTTAGCGAATATCGCATAACGAAGCGGGGGAGAACAGCTGATCGGCGGTTCCAAAATGGCCGCCGGAAGGTCCGCGCCGCATTTTCGCGCCCTGCCCTCGCTTACCGAGGGCGCGAAAATGGCAGCGCTATGGCAGAACCTCGCTTAACGGTGAGTTTTCAAGCCATAGGAACGCATTGAACAAAGTTCAATGCGTTTCTATGGCTTTTTTTATTCCGTTTAGCAATGTTTCGCTATAGCGAAGGTTAATCCGGAACGGATTAACCTCGCTATGCGAGGCACTACTAATGCCATTCCTGACAAAGATTGTCAGGCTTGACAAAGACACTTTAAAATGGCTTCTCTCCCTTCAGGAGCATAGCTTTTGCTTTTCTGAATCACAGTTCCATGTTCCATTCTATCTGTCCTCCTTGGCCACATATCACTAAAGAAAAAGACGGTCAGAAAAGAGACACGGTTAAGTTATAGGAACGTAGGAAGCTATCTTATACCAAATCAGAAAATTAGTTAATTTACCACAGTACTGTATTGTCAGCTCTGACTAGCATTGACTGTCTGAGGTTTCAGGCAGGCTTCTCTCCTGGCTCTCTGGAGATTCCTGTTACTCCATGGCAGCCTCCCATCCAAGTACTAACCAGCTCTGACCCTACTTAGCTTCTGAAGTCAATTCTCTGCTTCATGACAAAGAAATAAATGTTCTTTCTTTCCCTGTCTTTAAAACAGCATTCATTTAGAATTCATTCGTTCCGTGGTTAATGTTGTCTTGCCAAAAAATTGTCTTGCAAAACGCGTCTTCCCACAGGAATGCATTGAAATCTAATTAATGCCTTCCTATAGGCAAAAACGTCAGAACAAAGTCAAATTTGGTTTACAGGGGGTTTACTAAATGCTCTTTAAAGTCATACATATTGTGCAGATGATTTCAAAAATTTCAATCAAAAACTTTAACTTTTTAAAAATTATAGAAAAACATTTAAAAATCAGCAGTCATGAGGCAGGAACAAAAAACGGAAAACATTCATCTTGCAAAGCACGGCCATAGGAATATTCATCTTGCGAGTCATCAACCCCCTTGCCAAAACCATTTGTCTTGCAAGTTTTTTTTCCTGCGAGGCATTTGTCTTGCGAGGCACCACTGTATTTGTTTGTTTGTTTTCTCATACTGGTTACAAAAGGTAGATAAGTTTAAATTCAACTGGTTTTCAACCTTCATTCACCAGGATGTAACAACAACAACAAAACCTACATTGAGCAAATTGGAATGTTTCCTTTGTCTATGAGAATTCCAAAGTTAGGGCTGTGGTTAAAGTGAAGTTCAGTATTCTCATCTTGTATTTCCTGAACTTACTAAGAGTTCCAGTGTCAATCTACCCACAAGTAGAGTCAACCCACTAAGAACTAAAGTATATAACGTCTATTTATCAGTTTCACAGGGTACCAAAAAAGGGCATGGGATTGTTTTTTTTTGTCATGATAGCATGAACAGGAGCCAAAGAGGAGGTAGAAGGGTCCACATGTGTCTTGGACCCTTTTACCTCCTGGCTTAGCCTGATGGGTGACCATGTGAATGCACCACTGGTCACAGAGTGCTTCTTCAATCCAACTGCATTGGAGAACAACAAGCCAGTTTCCAATATTCCATTATTTGGAGCTGAACAAGCTACCATCTGGTAGCTGTTTAGCTGCAAGAGAAGATGCTGGATGAGACGGATTATCATGCTTTGTTGCTGCATGAAACTCAAGGACATGTGTTTTTGTTTTTTCTAGCATCCAGATTGGCCACAGGCTTGAGTTTGCAAGAGCTGAGCAGGGCTGTTGAGGACAAGACATTGCAGAGATAGCTCATTTATAGGGTCACCATAAGTCACAGGTGATTGGACAGCACATAACAACAACAACAACAACAACAACAGTTGCTGATGATTCATTTCAAATTTTCAAATCTTTGCAAAGTTTATTGTTCTTTCAGTGTTCGTGTAGAAAAGAGTCCCAGAGAACCAAGAGAACAATACACATTGTCAAGAGGCCACTCTTGACTGGCCATGAAGTTGCAACAGAACACTCACCATCCAGCAACAAGTGGTTCTGGTCTAGAGTTCTCAGCGCACTTAGCATCAGTTGGGTCATAATGTCATCAGGGATCAGTCGCCCTTGATCGATATATGACTTAGCTAGTATCCCAATTTCTGTGGAAACAAAAACATATGAAAGCCTCCATAGAGTCCCACATATAAGTGGTTTATCTTTAAACTTATAGAGAGAGGCAAGGATATCACGTGACAGCCGCCATTTATCAGAAGAAAGTATTTTGGTGAGCCTTAATTGAGTAAGTCTCAACAGACCTGTCAGATGACTCCCTGGGCCCTACAGTCTCCACTGCCTCTGCATTCTACGTTCAACTTGGCCTTCTGCATCCATAGTCTTCTTCCTGTGCTTAGAGTACAGCACAGACAGATGTAAGACCGCATAAAGCAGCCAATTTCTCTTTTGCTCAATAACCAAACTGACTTTTCTCATATTTAGCTGTGGGATGGACTTCAACACCCATCCTTAAAGCCTGACTTTCAATTGTCATAGTAAACTCAGTAGGACTTGGCTTCCAAATACGCCTGCATGAAACCTCTTAATGGTACCACTTCTTCTGCCTAACTAAAGTCTTAGGATAGTTGCTTGAGCACCAGGGCTGGTAGTGATACATTCTGAAGTGTAGGAGTTCATCATAATTGCTTAACAGGACCTGTAGATTCCAACGTACAGTATACTAAGGAGCAACAAAGGGGATCAGTGTGTCATAAATGTTGGCCTTCTCAGAGAGAGTGAATGTTTGACTAGTGTTGACTTGTGGCCGTTGAAAGGTGTATTTAAACTGGCTAGGTGCTTCTGATTTTGGCTCCACATGAAACGGTGAGCAGCTGGGGTGGGGAAAATACACCGTATGCCTTTACACACATTCCACAGTCATAGATTTTACAGCATGTTGATCGCAATTGCTAGATCACATGTGCAAAATCATATGCAATGCAGATGGGTAGGTAATGTGGTGGCATGAGTTGATGGGACATGTAGGCAAAAAAAAAACCATCTGGAGAGCTACAGTTACCCAGGGTACTGGGGTAACCTACAATTTACGTGCATGTGCACACAAATACATAAATTTTGGAAGCTTTCTTATGTATATCTGCATATTCCAAGATTCAAATGTTTAAAATTCCTGGTTTACCTTTGCTATGGGAAAGGGAAGTAAGATGCAGTATAGCCCAAACATCTTTCCAGGCTATGGAGAACTGTGAAAGTTATCCTTCCAGCCGTGCAAGCTCTCTGTCTATCTATCCTGCCCATCTTGCCAAAGGCCATTCTGGGCAGTTTACAAGACATATAAACAACATGATTAAAATACAATTTAACAGAACAGAAAATACACATAATAAAATGCAAAGAAACAGTATCATCAAAACATAAAAATGCATTTGCATTAAACATTCAGAACAGAACAAACCAATGAAGGGCTTCCTAAGCAAGCACTGAATCCATGGATCAGTGTTTCTAATACAGACTGTGAAGGATCACAGTGCTTTCCGTTCCCCCCAGGAGCAACATTTGGGAAAATGTAGCTTTGTGGGTTAAGTACAGTGCCCTTCCATAGCAGTGGACAAAGTATGGTCTTCAAAATAACCCAGGAGCAACATTTGGGAAAATGTAGTTTTGTGGGTTAAGTGCAATGCCCTTCCCTAGAACAGCAGTGGACAAAGTATGGTCTTCAAAATAACAGCATTATAGGCAATGGTGAGAACTCATGGGAGAGGCAACAGGGCCACACCTTCTCAGCTGTGCCTCTCCCTGGCAAAGTCTGATCTGGCCACTGTGACACCTGCCTTACTTATAGCCTGGCTAAATTACTGTAACGTGTTCTATGTGGGGCTGCCTCAGGAAAGGGTTCAGAAACTTCAGCAGGTCCAAAAAGCAGTAGCCAGATTGCTGACCAGGGCTACAGGGATTACAGCTAACTGCAACTAGCTGCTGATCCATTTCTGGGCACAAATAAGTATTGGTTCTAACCTAGACAGCTAGAGCCCAAGCTGTCTCAAAGACCCTTTATGAGCCTGCTTGAGTGTTAAGATCATCAACAGAAGCCTTTCTCTCGATCTTGCTACCTTCACAGATGTGTTTGGTGGGGACACAGGAGAGAGCCTCCTCTATTGTTGGAACTCATGAGCCTCGTGGCGCAGTGGTTAAAACGCTGTACTGCAGCTAAAACTGTGCTCACGACCTGGGGTTCAAATCCCAGGTAGCCGGCTCAAGGTTGACTCAGCCTTCCATCC